AGGAGCCACGTCATCCCTGGTGACATAACGAAAAAGGATTGAGGTATTTGAATTGGGCTAAGTGTTGCCTGGGAAAAGATGTGAATAAAAAAGTAGTGGAATTGATCAACCAATTAATGTCATCATATTCATATGTGTTACTGTGGTCCTTTGGTAAGCACCCATTTAATTTCTATCCCTGGGCCATTCTACTTCTTCCTTTTTCTCTTCCTCTTCTCATTGTTTTTCTTTAGTTTCTCCTTTTTGTTTTGAAATATCTACAGATTCGCAGGAAGTTGCACAGATTGTACGAAGAAGTCCTCGAAAACTTTCACCCAATTTTTCCTCAATGGTTACATCTTACATAATATCCCATGACACCAAAACCAAGATGTTGATATTTGTACAGTGTGTGTGTCCCATTTTATCACTTGTGTAGATTCACGTAACTGCCATTATGGTCAAGATTGTAACTTGATTATAATCCCATTCTCATTCCATCACAAATCTCAGATTCCTTACAGATCTTCCTAACACTAACCCTGACAGTTACACCACCCATCCCCCTACCACCTCTGATGCCTGACATCACGAATCTGTTCTCCATCTCTACAGTTCTTCCATTTTGATAATCTTATGCAGATTAAATCATACAATGTGTGGCTTCCAGAAATTGGTATTGTTATTTGGTACTGACTCAGCATAATGCCACTGAGATCCACCCAACTTTTCACATGAATCAATACTTTATCCCTCAGTATTGAAGAGTAATATTGCACATTAAAGTTGTACCAGTATGCCCAACCAATCACCTATTGTAGAATATTTTGGATATTTACAGTTTGGTGCTGTCGTAAATGAAGCTATTATGAAAAACTGCTTACCCATTTTTGTGGACATAGTTGCCCAGGAGGATAAAGACTAAATTGTATGATAAGGGGGTGTGTTTGGTTTTATAAAAAAAAAAAAACTACTGAACTATTCCTCAGAGTGACTGTACCATTTTACATTCCCACCAGCACTGTGTGAGATAGCTAATATTCTGCCTATGTGATAATGTTTGTTATTGTCATTATTTTTATGTTAACCAGTATGATACATTTGTAGTGATATCCTATTTTGTTAATGTTGTAATATTTCATCATGCCCTTAATTTGCTTTCTCTATTATCTGATGATGTTAGATCTTTTTTATGTGTTTATTCACCACGTGTATGGTCCTCTTTGATAAAATATCTATTTCTATCTTTCACCTGTCTTGTAATTTGACTGTTTTAGATAATGAGTTTAAGAGTTCTTTATATATGGTAAATAAGAGTTCTTTGTCAGATATGTGGTTTGAAAACATTTTCTCTCAGTGGACCACATGCTTGTTTATCCCCTTAATTGGGTCTTCAACAAGCAAAAGTTTTCATTTTGATGAGGTTCTGTTCATTTATTTATTTCCCTTTATCAATTGATGTCATGTCTAAGATTCTTCACTAAGTTCTAGGTCCTGAAAATTTTGTCCTAGCTTACCTTCTGAAAGTTTTATAGTGTTATATTTTACATTTAAATCTATGATCCATTTTTAGTTAAATTTTATGTAAGTTATAGAGTTTTTATTTTTCTTATGGATATCTTGTTGCTATTACACCATTTGTAAGAAAGACTAAAATTCCTCTATTGAATGTCTTTTACCATTTCATCAAAAATCAGTCAGCTGTACTTACGTGGATCTGTTTCTGGTTCTCTATTTGTTTTCATGTTTTTGTCTCTCCCTCCACCAAGATCATGGTGTTGAGTACTGTACCTATACAGTTATGTGTGGCATAACAACACTTCAAACAATGGACAACATACACAACAGAGGTTGCATGAGATTATAATAGAGCTGAAGAATTCTGATTGCCTAGTGACGTCATATCCATTTTAACATCATAGATGGAGGTACAAACAAACCAATTTTTTTTAATTTCAAATTAATATGAGGCTACAAACAATTAGGTTACATTGTTTGCATTTGTTAGGTAAAGTTCAAATTGTAGTTGAGTCCTTCACCTAGGAGGCGTGCCATACAGCCCTACATTTTGCCAATTAAGTGAGCGCTTACCAATGCCCCTTCCTTCTCACCTCCCCACTCCCCTACTTGAATTTAACTGTGCTTTTCTCTCGTGTGTATAGTTGTCCATCTACTGATTTCATATTAGTATTGAGTACATTGGATACTTGCTTTTCCATTCTTGGGATACTTTACTGAGGAGAATGTTCTTAACTTCATTCAGGTTAATACAAAAGATGTAAAATATCCATCTTTTCATGTCTAAATAGTATTCTATGGTATACATATACCACGGTTTATTAATCCATTCATGGGTTGATGGGCACTTGTGTTGATTCCACATCTTGGTGACTCTGAATTGAGTTGCCATAATGGCCAATAAACACATGAAAAAATATTCATCATCCCTAATCATCAGAGAAATGCCAATCAAAACCATCCTGAGATATCACCTACCCCTCCGTGAGAACAGCCCACATCTCAAAGTCCCAAAGCTGTAGATGCTGGTATGGATGGGAGAGAATACAACACTCTTACACTGTTGGTGGAATTGCAAAATAATACAACCTCTCTGGAAAGAAGTATGGAGAATCTTCAAAGAGCTAAAAGTAAACCTTCTCTTTGTTCCCACAATCTCATTACTAGGCATCTACCCAGAAGATAATAAATACAGTAAAAAAATAATTTTATCATATGGGCATTTGCACTAGAATGTTTAACAAAACTATTATCCTATATGTAATATAAAAGTACAACATATACAATGATATATAGTACATAATACTTGATAATGATAAAATGACCATTACTAGTTTATGTATTCACTACACTATACTTTTTATTATTATTTTAATGTATTATCTTTCTACTTATTAAAAGTTAACTCCAAAACAGCCTCAAGCACATCCTTCAGGAGTGTCCAACCTGCAGCCCCTGGGGTACATACAGACTATTTGAGGACTGTTTTGCTTATCTTTGGTGCCGGATATCACAAAAAGTATGTAGAGACCTTATCTTTTGCTCATCAGCTTTCATTTGTGTTTACATATTTAATATGTGGCCCAAAACAACTTTCATTCTTCCAATGTACAACAGAAAAGAAAAAAGGTTGGACACCCCACTCGGAAAGTATTCCACAGGCATTATTCTTCCCTCTAATTCTACTAATTTGAAGAGCTTAGATCAGGATTAAATGATCAAAATAAGTGGCTGAGAAAGATTATAGGTTGCTAGAAAGTTAAAAAATTGTGTTTGAATATTGCCTTATGCAAATATGAATGCTTATTTATCCTAGGAGATGGGATTTCCATGAATATTATGTGCCTTCCAGTGGAACGAGATGTGGAGGTAGAAGGCAATGATAGTGATGATCCTGACCCTGTGCAGGACTAGGGTAATGTATGCATTTGTATTTCACTTGTTAATAAAAAAATTTAAAAAGTGAAAAAAATAATTAAAAGCTTATAGTAGAAGTATATAACAAAAATCATATTTTTGTATAGCTGTACAAAAAAATTATAAAAATTTTATAAAGTTTAAAAACTAAAAATTTTATAAAGCAAAAACTTGACAGTAAGAGTTAATTTTATGTTGAACAAAGAAATTTTATAAATTTAGTGTAGCTTAAGGGTACACTGTTTATAAAGGCTACAGTAGAGTTCACCAGGAGAGGGTTCAGGCCCAGAAGTGGCATGTGTTGTTCCATTGGTCAGAACATGATTTCTCAGCCATCCGTAAGTTTGATTGGAAAAAGGGTTTACTTCTATGACCAGAAGAAAAGATATACATATTGATGGGCAGAAAGCCAATTTATGCCATAGCAAGAATCCATGATACATTTTTCCACAATGAGCAACACTTAGCAATATGAAATGGTGTTTAAGAATAGAACCAGAGATTTTTAGGTCTTTTAACATATGAAAAATCATGGATTAATACATTTCAGCTCCATACATAGCCAGGTACAAACATAGCCTAACTCAAGAGGTAGAAAAGCAAAGAGATTTAGGAATTAAAATAATCTGTCATTATGTAGTAATCAAACTGTTGCCAGATGACAATTTAAGCTAGACTTAAGTTGACCTTAAGCCAGGCTACAACTAAAAAGAAAATCAATGGCATAAGAAATGTAAGCTTATCCCTGTCCCAGAGAAGAAATGAAAGGATTATCTGGCTTGTGAAAATCATCTAGATGAGAACTACAAAAAGGATAGTAGCACAAACTAGGAAGCCTTCAAACATGTGTGGACCATGAACATATCTCAAAAAACTCTTCCCTCTAATTCTACTAATTTGAAGAGCTTAGATCAGGATTAAATGATCAAAATAAGTGGCTGAGAAAGATTATAGGTTGCTAGAAAGTTAAAAAATTGTGTTTGAATATTGCCTTATACAAATATGAATGCTTATTTAATACAACTAAAAAGTATCCTGATCTATGTTTCTTAGTATGACACATTAAGAGGCAGGCTTCTAGCCAGTACACAATCTAATACACACCCACCTAAAAGAAAAACTCAAATCAATCCAAGGTGTTGGGCAGGAGAATAAAGGAGAAGGGCAGGGGGGAAGAGAGTGCTCCCACTTAACCATCACAATATTAAGGATATGGCACACCTCTTTGGGGCAGGGCACAATTATAAGAGGGACTCTACTTAAAAACATGCAAACATTGTAACCTAATTATTTGCACACTCTCAAATTAAAATGAAACAATAAAAATTTTATTTAATTCTTTAAAAAATAGTATTCTGTTATAAAATATTCTTCACTTTGAAATTAATGCGTAGTTTACCTATCGCTATTTATCAAGAAAATACAAAAACAAACTGCAAAGCAATAAACCCTGTTGTGAGTGTTGTCATGAAAATCCAAGCGATAAAAGTAACATCACATACAATAATCTTTTCATTTCAAGAAGGCACAAATATTTCTCTTTTCTTCTGATTCTTCTCTTGGTCCTTTCTAGATTTAGGATAGCCATGACACAAGGAAATGGCACCAAAGTGACCGAATTCTTTCTCCTGGGATTTGCTGCCCAACATGAGTTTCGGTACATCCTCTTCATTGTATTTCTTCTGATCTATGTCACCTCCATGATGGGTAATATTGGAATGATCCTACTCATCAAGACAGATTCCAGACTTCAAACACCCATGTACTTTTTCCTACATCACTTGGCTTTTGTTGATATCTGTTACACCTCAGCTATCACTCCCAAGATGCTCCAAAACTTCACAGAAGAAAATAATTCAATATCACTCGGGGGCTGTGTACTGCAATTACTAGTTTATGCTACGTTTGCAACCAGTGAATGTTACCTCCTGGCTGCTATGGCAGTGGACCGTTTTGTAGCCATCTGTAAGCCCCTTCGCTACCCCATAATCATGTCCCGAACAGTCTGCATCCAGTTGGTAGCTGGATCGTATGTCATGGGCTCATTAAATGCCTCCGTACACACAGGCTTTACATTTTCTCTGTCCTTCTGCAGGTCCAACCACATCAATCACTTTTTCTGTGATGTTCCCCCAATTCTCGCCCTTTCATGCTCCAACATTCACGTCAACATCATGCTGCTTGTTGTCTTTGTGGGATTTAACCTGCTGTTCACTGTATGGGTGGTCATATTCTCCTACATCCACATCATGGCTGCCATCCTGAAGATGACCTCCACTGCAGGGAGGAAAAAGGCCTTCTCCACCTGCGCCTCCCACCTGACGACCGTCACCATCTTCTACGGAACCCTCTCTTACATGTACTTACAGCCTCATTCTGATAACTCCCAGGAGAATATGAAAGTGTCTTCTATATTTTATGGAATTGTGATTCCCATGTTGAACCCTCTGATCTATAGCTTGAGAAATAAGGAGGTAAAAGAAGCTTTAAAAGTGATAGGGAAAAAGTTCTTCAGGATTGGACCCAATTACTAAAATTCAGTACATCAAAGCACTTAGTAC